ATGTGGGAGCAGATCCCATCCCTTTCTGGTGATCTATTTGTCGACACGACGGTCAACGCGAGGACTTGTGGTGGAAGACAATCAGTAAAAATAAGTACGCTTCTGCTTTGCCGTCGTCGGAGTGTTCGAGGAAGAAAAATCCAGCATTTTTCAACATTTTTCCGGGATTTTTAACACGACCGACGGTTGTATTGGTTGACACTGAAGTCATCGGCAAGCGCTCGTTTCGTGACGCTTTCGTTTTCTTCCACGGCTAGAAGGGCTGGTAGTTTAACTCCGAAAGTCGCATTCTTCCTACACCCGCAAGGTCTGTGTCGCCCGTTTTGGACCTCTCAACTAACTTTCAAGTTGGCTTTTGCTGGTTGTTCCCTAAAAGCGTCGAAATCGCAAAGACTCTTCCAGCCTTTCTCGGAGTGGTACAGCATAATTTGGCGAATATGAAGATGGTTTTCAGAATGCACTTCTGCTAAGGGAATAAACAAAACGCCAAGTTGCTCGAAAGGCGCGAAAAAAGTGCAATAATCACGCATCAACCCAAAAGCTGACACTAACGCGGAAATTCCGTCCGCTCACCTGCTGAAAGGCATAGATATAGAAGTGTTTGCCCATGACGATTTAGTGCAATATAATTGAACAAACAAAACCGAACTAATCAAACAGTACCTCGAGAGTCTTTCTTACGGAGCTTTTCGAATACAGAATTCATAGTACGACATCAACCGACACAGAAGTTCGATGACATCGCCGCAGTAGGTAAGTAGGAAGGCGTTCGACGGCTGCTACTGCGAGTGATTTCCTTATCCGTTACGCCTGGAAGTAACTAGCACTTTTTCCTCTGCGTCTATTCCGCGAAAGGTCAGACGATGGACGAATACGGCGCACGTAGGTACATGAAGACAAAATCGGTCAAAGAACGCATATAAATTCAGCTTAAAGCAAAAGAAAAGATTCCCAAGCTGTGAAAAGCTGAAGAATGACGGCTACACTGAAGACCTGCAGCGTAGCCAAACCAAATAATGTCTAACACATGTGGCGAAGGATGTTTGCAACTGGTGAAAATGTCCAAAAATTCCACGTTGATTTCCAACTGACTAGTGTCTTTGCGTGGCAACGGATTAATCGACTCGAACGATTGAACTGTCAGCCCCGTTAATTCCAATGGTTACGAGCAGAAATCAAACAAATTTCCTTTTTACGGGAGTCCAGACGGAAGTGCGTTTCCTTGGTCACATCGTGTGTAATGGAGGAAAAGAAAAAAGTATCGCAGTGATTGTAAGAATATGAGAGAGCACTGACGACACGAGAAAAGGGTAGACACTGTGCCTTTCGATTGACAACTGTCCTACAAGGTAATCCTGGGATTCTCGCTAGAGCACGACTGTCATCAGTGCAACTTCAATGTTCGCTCCTTTCGTTTCGTTCAGTTTCGCGCAACCTTCTCAAGTAGTCAGGACGTGCCACAGCCTGTAAAGCGCCTTACAGACCACAAAGTGTCCTGTTACTCTCCAAGAACTTATTTGATTCTTGTCCTCCACAGCGGTAACAAAACTGAATGCCAACGCGCAGCTTTTCTTTATGTGCGATTTTGATGCATAAGTCGCATCGTCAATGTGAAAACTCTACGGAACGTCCTGTCCCACAAGCCCACTTAAGTACAAAATTTCGTGCAAAAGTTCTTCAAGTAAAGGTAGTTTGACTGTAAGGCAAGCGATAAAATTTTTCGCCTGAGATTGGAGCTTTGGACTGCACCTCACTACGCTAGCGCCCAACTCTGCGACTCCCGGAGGTGGTTTCAAGTTTGGTTCCTGATCTGATTCTGCAATTAGTTAGTTCTTCATTTCTGCACTTCTTCGGTTCTGCATTTCTCCAGTTCCTCAATTTGTCACTGTCTATGAACGCGGCTTGTACCTAAAAGTCCTTTTTTATCCAGGATGTTCTTGGAAGGAAAACACAGGCTTGACCGTAGCCACGAGGCCGAAAACTTCACGGAAACATATTTTGTCAATCCACAGCCAATTTCGGTATGTTTTCCGTTGTGCATAGTTTTTGCTTGTAAACGATGTAGTTTATCAGATTGTGGACAATTCTAAAGATGAAAACGAGGAAGAAGAATATGAAGAAATGGAAGAGGAAGATGACGATGAGGATGATTTCATGGCGTTTGATTTTGTCGATGCCACGGGTGGGCGCCATGAAGTCGAATCTGCCGGTAGTTTGTTGATTTCGTCCTGCAATCGGAGTTCTTTCAATCCTTGTTTTTCTAGTAGCGTGTGGCTCATATAACACTCCTCAATGTGTGGTTTGCGGACGGACACCAACTCCGAAAACTCGCCTTTTTAAGTGGCCGGAAGATGAGCAGCTGCGGAGATCATGGTGCGTTCCGATTACATTTATGCTTTGGGTCGCGTTCATGCCTTGCGAAAGTGAAGATTTGACAAGTTAGCGGAAAGAGTTCGATAAGTATCGATCTGAGGAACCGAGGGATTTACTAAAGAATCGAAGAACTGAGTAACTGATACGTAAACGATAAAACTGATACGTAAACGCTCCTCCTCGCGGGTGCTTCAGTTCGTCAGTTCTTCACTCTTGCAACGTATGAGCCGGGTTTGAGGTACAAATTAATGTATATTTGTTGTGAAACACAGAAACGACTAATGTACTGTGCCCTCATGCGCAATGCCGTTGACGCCATAATACCATAAGGATGCAGAGTTGCGGGCAGAACGTTTGGTTTTGTGGACCCTCAGTTAGACCGCGTTCAGACTTCGCGATTGAATCGCGCGATCGGAACAGCATCATACCGTTACGGCGGTACGTTTGGCAGTGGAGCGCCCCCAGTCGTGGTCGCTCGATCACTCGCTTCACCCGATTGCAAAGTCTGAAGGCTGCCCGTGCTCTTTCTTTGTTCATACGGGGAATTCGCGGATTTCTCGTACTCGAACGAAGGAAATTAGGGTATCGTTCGAGATAATCCGTGTTTGAGGACTGGGCCTTTCTTCTGTGTAGGTAGAGCTCCACTAAACAATTGAGCGGGCCTTTGGCTTGCTTCAGAATAAGCAATGGAACCAGGGGTGATTGTCTAGTGTTTTGCTGTTCTCACCGTTCTAAGGCGTATGTCATAACAAATAACCTTTTCCATTGCACTTTACGACCCCCCCCCCCTCGTATTCTTTCGTGCATTCGAAATATCCTACTCTATATAATTCACTAAGTATGTCTGTGTGTGTATGTTTGTGTGTGCGTCTGTCTGTGTGTCACGAAATTCATAGCGCCGGTCCCAGTAGCAGTGAGACATTGATTTCAAGAAGTGATGTAGGCGGTGTGACGGGAACACTATTGGTGGGTGACAGGAAGTGATATCAGTTGATA